CACTCTACAAAAGACAGCCATCTTTTGGGCGTTGAAGGGCCCAAGGCTCCATGTATATTGGCTTTTGAATGGCAAGACGGAGGACCGTTCCCAAATGCTCTTTTTTCCTACGCCATTGTCCCGCCTCTTCCTCTTTTCCCTCCTTCTCTACACCCCTTTGCCCCTCGCTCCATTTCTGACCCCTCGCTCCATTCCTATTCCCTGGCCGCTAACCCTCTAGGGGTTCTGCACACGACCGGGGGCTACATGATCCAGGCGGCAACCACCTTCCGCCACGTGTTCAACGTCCGCCCTGAGAAAAACGACATTTTCCTTTGCACAGCCGACTGTAAGTCTTAAATCTTTTTTCAGCTGGTGCCTGCTGAGTGGCTGTGTGTAGGGATGCATCCCTTACCCATGCGTGCATGCAGGACCTGAGAGGGAAGCGCTAGGTAAAGCCCCGTCGCTTTCAAACATTCGATGTGCACTTTAGCCAATAATTCACCCCCCCTTACCACGCGCGCGGTCCTAACTACACCTTCCCTTGTCGTGTCTCAGGCGGCTGGATTACCGGGCATAGCTACGTCACGTACGGCCCCCTCTTGAACGGGGCCTCCCAGGTCGTCTTCGAAGGCGTGCCCAGTTACCCCGACGGTGCGGCAATGACGGGAGGGAGGAGGCGGGGGAGGGTATCTTGAGATCAAAAAGGGGGAAATAGCTGCCTTCTGCTCTCTTTGTCTCTGCCGGGTCGCCTTTCATCTGTCCCTCGGGGAGGGCCTGGGGAGGTACCATGTTGATCCTTCCAACCGCCCGAAGCCTTCTTCTTCCCTTCCCCCTTTCTCACCCTCCTCCCTGCCATTCCGCCTTTGTGTCTCTGCAGTGGGCCGGCTCTGGCACATGGTCGACAAGTACGGCATCACCCATCTCTACACAGCGCCCACCGCGATCCGCTCCCTGATGCGAGAGGGGGACGAGCACGTGACAAAGTACGCGCGGAGCAGCCTCAAAGTCCTGGGTTCGGTGGGAGAGCCCATCAACCCTGAGGCCTGGAAGTGGTACCACGAGGTGAGGAGTTTGGGGCAGGGGGGACGGTATGGCGTCGTGGAATTCTTTGGGCAGATTTCTGGGGTGGGCGTGTGTGGTAGGTGTAGAAATTATGATGGCTATGTGGGGTCGATTAAGGCACTAAGACACTCGGGTCAGTAGTTCGAGAAATTCGGTCCCATGCCATCGATGGATCCTGGTGCGTAATTGAGAAAAGAAGATCATGGTGCGTGCTGTGAAAGGACGGGAAGGTGACGAGGGAGGCAGGAAACTTCTCAGTCACAGTAGTCTCAAAAGCTAGCAGCACCGACGTAGACTCTACGAGAAGTACCCAGCGCGTCTGGCGAGGAGACTAATGGGTGCACTGCCCTTCTGATTTTCTCCGCCGGAGCAGGTGGTGGGCGGGGGACGGTGCCCGATCGTGGATACCTGGTGGCAGACGGAGACAGGTAAGCGTCCTAACCCTACCCCTAACCTTAACCCTAATTTTAACCCTAGCCCTAACCCTAACCGGGTCAAGGCGGTCCACAGCCGTGTCTCGAGAGATGTTGACCACGGCGAGCGACGTCGAGGATGGCATGCACCACGATTGTTAGGAGTGGGCTTAGTAACTTAAGATAGGGTAGGGTAAGAAAGGACATATAAGCATTCGAAGCGAGGCTTACCGCATCCTCTTGCGTTCCTCTGCCGGCCCCCATCTGTGCCCTTAGGTGCCATCGCCATCGCCCCGCTTCCTATTAAAGGCTGGGGTCAGAAGCCGGGGAGCGCCTCTTTACCATTTCTGGGTATTGAGCCCGTCCTCCTCTCCCAAGACGGCAAGGTAAGTGTCCATACCAGGCTCCTGCGTGCAGTCTCTAGGAGCGTGAGGCCTCTAGGTGACGGGGCGGACAGACAAGGTTGAACCCCTCCCCTCCCTGCTGTCCATCCTTCCTCCTCCCTTTCCAGGAACTAGAGGGTCCGACCGAGGGCCTGCTCGCCATCAAATCACCCTGGCCCAGCACCTTACGATCTATCTACGGAGACCACGAACGCATGGAGCAGACCTACTTCTCCTTCGACGGCTATTACCTGACGGGCGACAACGCGAGGTAGAGGGCTGGAGGGAGGGAAGGAGGGAGGGAAGGGGGGGAGTGGCGGGCGACGTCGACGATCGTAGCTATGCTCATACCCCTCCCTTTAGGCGCGACTCAGACGGCTACTACTGGATCACGGGTCGGGCAGACGACGTGGTCATCGTCTCAGGCCACAACTTGGGAACGGCCGAGGTGGAGGCTGCCCTGGTCCGTGCACCCCTCCCTTCATTTCTCCCTCTCTCCCTCTCTCCCTCCTCTCCCGCCCTCCCTTGATCCTCGCATGTCGTTCGCTGTGCTGAGGCCAATCGTCTCTGACGTGCATTCATGCGCTGCCTCCCTTCCCTCCTCCCTCCCTCCCCCTCTCCCTTCCCATCCTCCTGCTCCCTCCCACGCAGGCCCAGCATCCCAGTGTGGCCGAAGCGGCCGTCGTGGGCATCCCCCACGACGTGAAAGGGAACTGCCTCTACTGCTATGTGACCCTCAAAGCCGGCCAAGCGCCCAGCCCAGACCTGGAGAAACAGCTGAAAGTTTCGGTACTTCCTCCCCAACTCGCGCCTTTTTTCTTCCCCGCCGGACGTTTCCCCCCCCCCTCTCGCCCTGTATCCCGCTCGATACAGGATGCTTTCCAGTCCAAATATCTCTTTGGGTAGTCTCTTTCATGCCTCCCTCTTCTTTCGCCCCTGTCCATACCCTCTGATTCGTGGTGTACCTGCGTCAATCATCCTCCTCTCTCTCCCTTCTCTGCCTAGGTTCGGAACCAACTTGGCGCCTTCGCAGCGCCTGACTTCATCCAATGGGCCCCAAACCTGCCTAAAACACGTTCAGGAAAGGTGAGAGAGAGAAAGAGTGTACGAGAAGGGGGGGGGAGGGTTGTCCACCAGTCTTCCCGAGCACGTCTGTCGACATTATAGAGACACAGGCTAATGTTGCTCAGGTGCTGTCGCATACCTTCCCATCTGACATATTGAGGTCTGTCCAGGAGCGTCACTCCCCCCCCCCTTGCATTCTCACTGCCCTTCTCTGTTCCTCCTCTTCCTCCCCACCGCCCCCTCTTCCTCCCTTTCCCTTCGTTCCCGCTACCCCTTCTCCGCTTAAGGTAATGCGGCGGATCCTCCGAAAGGTTGCAGCGGGTGGTAAAGCTATCAACGTCGAGGTTTGAAAGTGGGGGGAGGGCGGGTTGGTTCTGTCACGGCTGGTGTCCAAGGATGACGCGTGTACGCACGATTCTACCTTCATATCCTCCCCTCACGACCTCTCTCCCTGTTTCGTTTTGCTTAACTCCCTCTTCCTTAGGATCTGGGTGATACGAGCACCTTGGCCGACCCGGAGGTTATTAAGGAACTGATTGCAAATCACGTGTAAGGCGGTCAATTCAAGGAAAGAAGGAATTTTATATGCCAGCACTATGCTTCGGTCGAACAGCCGCTTGTTGAGTGTATCACTAGCGTTATTTTGCATGTGAAGCACCAAACAGAAAGGGGGACAGAGACAGAGAAATTTTCACCTGAGTGCCTGTCACGCCACTTACATCGCTCTTAGGAGGAGTGAATAGGCTCGAATATGCTGGGTTATGGGAATAGGATATAGATAATAGGATAGTGGAGGCATCATGACGAATAAATGGGGGGCTTATCAGGGCCGATTTTGAAGCTAAAAGAAGAGGGTTCGATAAGCGTATACATATGAGGTGTGAAATTAGTCGATCTAGGATGGTCGTTTTCGTTGCTTCTTACTTTACGCAAAATTTCTCAATGGCTTTCCCTCATTTTTTCAGGGGAAAAGATCATTTTTCCCCCTTTTCAAGCTTGCTTGTCCTCAACTTTGTCGAAGTCTCCTCCATTGGATGTAAAAGTGGGTTTACTTCTACCTATAATGATGTACCTGTGAACTCATATATATAGATATATCTTTTCCTGCTCGAGCGGGCGTTGCCACTACAAGTCGTAGCTGCTGGCTATTGGCTGGCAAGGTTTCGCGACCTATTTAACTGTAACAATACCCTAATATGACCTTTTTTCCTTGTACACCGATGGTCCTCTCCTTCTCTGCACCGAAGATGACAGATTTACCGGACTGCAACATTTTTTATGAGGGATGCGCGCGAATATTTTCCAACGTCTAAAACATGTCGGTGAATGTAGCTAGAACTCGCACGGCAAAATCGAGCGACGCGGCGAGACGAGCGAAATGGAACAAAAAAAATCCCGTGGAAAGCCATTTTTTGGTGAGGCGCCGCCTGCTTGGCAGGTTCAATGCGCAGTACGCATCCAGGTGCTTGCGCATGAGCTCGTGCCGTGAGACTAGCAAAGGTCAAAGATCAGACTTATTCGTATCCGGGGAGGCCACGGCTTGTGCGTCTGGCGTGTTGTCAGGTAAGATATCTGCGCCTACATCCCGTTGAAATAATGGGCAGCGAAAAGCGACAACCTCGCCAAGACCATGTCGACGCGGAAGCCATCGATGTTCGAAGGGACTGTCTGCGGGTACTTTGAGACCGAAAGCATGTTTTATGAGTTCTTTACAGGTGTTTTCCGGTGACATTGGTAGACGGATACGATCTTGATGGCTTTGATTTGATCGGCTTCCGAGCGTTCCATGTGTTCGCACAAAGAGGACGCGCGCGTGCCCACACTCGGGCTTCCTCTGACCTTACATGCAGTCCGCTTGATTATTATTTCCAAACCCAACAACTCCATTGAGTCGGGCTTGCCATATAATCCTCATTGCTGCACCATTCCACCGTTCCTGTCCATGCAACTGAACTTCCCTATCTCTCCCACCAATTTACTTTAGATCGAAGTGGCTGCGAGAAACATCGGTCGGCTACAGCTCGACATACACCCAATCGGATCTATTTCAGGGGAGATAGGACGATAACATTTATTCCCATCCTTTCACAAAGGAATGTGCTACGTTGAGAAATCTCATAAAAGCGAGGCCGCTGCATCCTCTCCTGCTGGCCCCGTTTTGCGCTCCCACTCAGCTGCCACAGCCGAGAGAAAGCGACAGGAGGAAAAACGCCGTCTGCATCCGCAGCATTTGGGGTTGGGCGAGGAAACACATGGATTGAATAGAAAAGGGCATGGGAGAAGGGTAACGGGGGCTGGATATGGAAGGAGTCCAGGGGGAAGAGGGGAGGAGGTGGACCAGGACAGAGGAGTGGAGCCCGGAAAAGAGGAAAAAAGCACCTCCTTCATGGTACAAGGCAAGGTAGGGCATTCAATATCTTTTGCTGGGTGTGGGAATGCGGGTGTTTAGGCCGCTGGGAGCATTGGGAGAGGCGTCAGTGGGGGGATAGGCCGCCAGGAGTGGAATCGTCCTCTTGGTCTCTCCTCCGGGTAGCATTCCTGCTTCCGATGCCTGTGAAGACGCGTGTCATGCTCCCTTGTCCTCCACACTGACCATTTAAGTTTTATTTCCCCGCGACGCGGCCCTTTCTTCTCTCCTCTTCGTCCCAGGAGACCGACGCCTTCGACGAGGATATCCGCTCCACTGGGACGCCTTCCTACCTTTTGTGCCTCTTCCCTTACGTGGACACCTTCAACTGGCTCCTTAACTTTCCCATGTTCCTGCTGTTGGCGGCCTGTAAGTGGGGAGGGATGCAGGGATGCAGGGATGCAGGGAGGGAGGGCGGGAGGGAGGGAGGAAGGGCGGGAGGGAGGGAGGGAAAGGAGGGTTGGAGAAATATGCATTGCCAGGTTGACCTTCCATTCCACCTCGCATCTCAAGCCTCCGAATGAATATAGTGCCTAAAAATTGAAAAAAAAAGAGGAGAGGAAGGGGAGGAAGGAAGGGAAGGGGTAAGGAAGGCGACTTGTCCCTCCCCTGGCCGGGAGACGCGAGGCCTGGCGCGATCCGTCCTCGCACAAAGCCTTTTGAATCCTCTCCCTCCCTACTCCAAACGAGCTTCCCTCCCTCATACTGTCCTATCAGCCCTTTCTGCACAGTTTCTCCTCACCTGGTACGGCCATGGGCCCACGTGGAAGGGCGTTCTGTTCGCCTTCTGCCACGCCTACTGGCGGGCCATCATGGGGTGGGGACTCCTACACCGCTTCTTTTCACACCAGGTACCCTCCCTCCCTCCCTCGCTCCCTCCCTCCCTCCCTCTCCCTCTTCATCCTCGGCGTTTGTCCACCTTGCTGAGGCCTGTCGTCTCTGGCCCTCATGTAAGACCGACCTCCCTTCTTTCCTCCCTCTCTCCCTCCCTCCCTCCCTCCCTCCCTCCCTCCCTCCCCCCAGGCTTGGTCTTGCTCCCGTCTAACCACCTTCTTCCTCGGCCTTTGGACCTGTACTGTCGCCCAACGAGGACCCCTCTGGTGGGCCTCCAAGCACTGCCGGCACCACAAGGTATCCTCCCTCCCTCCCTCCATTTCTCCCTCCTTCTTCCTGTCTTTTCCTCTTCCTCGTTTGTGTCCTCATCGCTTCTACTTACCGGCATGGGACAATCTCGCCCTCCCTCCCTCCCCTCTTCTCTCCCTCCCTCCCTTCCTCAGTACTGCGAAACTAGGGTCCCTACCCTACTGTGATCCGCACTCTTACCACCGTCTCAAGAACTTCTTCTACGCTTTCATCGGTCCGTCCCCCCCGCCCTCTCTCTCTCTAGTGGCCCCTTCTCTTCGGCCCATCTTCCGTCTTTCCCCGACCGCCTTCGTCCGACAAACTGTCCTCACGGATGCGATTTCCCTCCCTCCCTCTCTCCCTCCCTCCCTCCCTCCCTTCCTCAGGGCTGGATCCTCCATCCCTACGAGAGACGGATCGATTGGGGCTTCGTTGACCCAAGTTTAAGGTAAAAGGAGGAAGGAGGGAGGGAGGGAGGGAGGGAGGGAGGGACAGAAGGAGGGAGGGGAGGGAAGAGGAGGGGATTGAGGCGAAAGTGTGGCCAAGCTTGGAGGGACAGGAGGGGAAGAGCGCGAGAGGAAGTAAAAGAGGGGGAAAGGGAGGATGTTGGACACATGGTTGCTGGCACTCGGCAGCATTTCATCTCAACCCTCCTTCTCGTCTCTCATCTTCGACCTGTCCTATCCCCCTTCCTTCCCTCCCTCCCTCCCTCCCTTCCTCCCTCCCTTCCTCCCTCCCCCCAGACCTGGGAGATGGCGTTGGTGGAGTGCTGCACTTGGCTGGTCCCTACCATCGAGCTTGCCATCCGCTACAAATATTGGGGGCTTAACAACAGTGCGTTCTACCCTGCCTGTCACCTTTTCCTTTCCCTTTCTTTCCCTCCCCTCCTTCTTTCCGTCTTCACACCCACCCGCCCAGTCTCCTCACTCCCCATTCCGACATTGCCTCCTATCCACCCCCTCCCCCTTTCCGATACAGTCTTGCTCCATATCAACTTCACGGTACGTGTCAGACGATAATCGAGTCCTCTTCGGCTCAAGACGCTGAGGCGGAGGGACTTGTACCGATGAACCCTTCGCATACTGGGAGGCGGCGAACTCGCGCCAGGGGTGGACTGACCTCGTTCTCTTTGGCACGTCTCTTTGGTCCGCAGGGTCTATGGCTCTTTATCACCCTGACGTTGAACTTCAAAGGTCATGACGACGGGAAACCCTCCGAGCCGCCGGCCCCCGACGGGCGCTATAAGGTGGGCGTGGGGGGACAAGAGGGAGGAAAGGCGGGGGGATAGGACAAGAGGGGACTGAAATGCAGGAAACGGTAATGGAAGCAGATCTTTAAGATAAGAAGCGTTCAAAAGATGGCTGTGTTAGCTTTCCAGCGACAAGATTCTTCTCTATCCTCTTCCTGCCAAAATGAGGACACGCCTGGTCTTAACCACAAGCACCCTCCTTAACCCTCGTACCTCCCTCCACCGCCCTGGCTCACCCTATCCATCCTTTCCACCCCTTTATCCTTTCTTTTTCCTTCCTTGTAGTGCAATGCCGTTCCCATCAACCAGTGGTACCTGGCCTATACGATCGACCTCCTCGCAGAGCTCGATCACGTCGACCATCATTTATACCCAAGGTGGGCTTATCCCGTGCTTGCCCTGTCTTCCTATTTTTTATTTCTTTTCCTTTTGCGCTTCTTTTTTGTTTAAATTGTGGATGGGACTATTCGAGGAAGGTTGATATCCATTCGTGTAGATCCGGGGTATACTGATTTCTCCGTGGTGATTCTTTTCACATCCTCTCCTCTTCATGCCTATTATTGCTTTTCTTTTTTCAGAAAAGCAAAACGGAGCAGCTACATGGGCATGGATGTCTTCTATTGGACGTTCCTGTGGCCAGGTGGGAATAAAAGGAGGGAGGGAGGAGGGCAGGGAGGGAGTAAGGCCGGGCAGAAGGCGAAGAATAGAAAAAAGGGGACAAAGATGGGGATGAACCGATATGTGAAGAGGAAGGCCTTCCGTCGGTCTTTTCAGACTTCTTCCTGGGTTCTCCCTACCGACCTTTTTCAGAAAATTGTGTGATTGGAACATCAGTGCCTCATCTACTTCTTGTTCGATATTTCCGTCGTCGGCAGAGGCTCACAATCTCTTTTTATGGCCATGGCTCGAAGAAATTACTCGTTGACTCGTCGCTCTTCCTCACCTCCCCGTCTTCCTCATTCCCGCCTGGTCCTATCCACCTCGTATTCTGTCTCTTTAGGAGAGAAGCTTGGCATTTTCTGGGACGTCAGAAGTGACGCAAAAGGGCGGATGGCCAAATAGCATCAGTAGGAAGCGAAGGGAGTGAGAGAGGGAGGGGCGGCGGAGTAGGGAAGAAGGACAAAGATGTTGCTCCTTCATCTTCCTTTCCAGTGGATTCCACATGCATTCATAATGGGATAATTGTATGTGCTTTTTGATTCTCTTATATTGATTTATAAAATTTGGAGAAAATTGTGATGCATGGCTTATTTAAAATGGGAAGAAAGCTGAAATGATAAAAGTTGTTGCTTATTTTCAAGTGCGGGGCGAAGAGGGTAGGTAAGTCAAGACGGAAAAACGCCAAAAGCGTGCGAAATAAAGTGTCTTGTAGCATTTATCTTTATGTGAATTGCATGAACAATTTTAGAAAATTAAATCAATATAAGCAAAGTCGTCTCTAGATAGCGCCGCCTTTGGTCGGCAAAGCAAGCTGCGCACTCATGCCGAACAGTATTGCCGGGCAATGCAGAGCCACGCTCAGACGTTAAATCAGTGATTTAAAAGGCATCTTCTTTCGGGATTATAGGGACTTTAATCAAAGGTGATGGCGGTGAGAAATGTTTCAAGAGAGAGGCCGGGAAGAGGTTTCAGATAAAATTTTCAGAATACGATTTTGACCGAATGAAGAAGCAAGCATTGCAAACAGAATTAGGGCACAGTCCACATAACTAGCAAAATGAAAATCAGTATCAACAACTCGGGTACATCTTGATAAATATTTTTTCGTCGAATTTCGGTTCTTGTGTAGCGCGCGGAAGACAAGTTTGTCGACTAACTTCAAAACTGGCATGGTGCTTCACTTCGTTTCTCTCGTGTAGACGTACCAGAAGATTGATCTGGTGCCAGGTCTGTATCAAGGACCACCAAAAATGAAAGGTTTTACTTTATTTGATGGTTGAAAGACCCTCCAACCTGTCAACCTCCCTAATATGCCGCGGCGTCATTCATAGTGACGCATTGAGTAAGGCATTAAATCCCATAATTTTCCGTAATCTCCAATACCAAAGACTTTTATCCACTCCATGGAAACATCTTATTCGATATTTGAAATGCTGTGTGCATACCTGCATTCTAGTAAGGCGGAAGCTGCTAGTCTACCACAAGCCTGTGCTTAATTTTCCGCCATGGAAAACCGTTACGAACCGTTAAGAGCCCAGACTGTTACACAGCCGGTGCGACAGCTTCTCACATGGCCTATATGTCATCTCACCTCTTCCCTCCATGCGAGTCCTCTTGGATATTCACTACTTAATTGATTCTAAATTATTTTTCTCGCACAGAATGGGGGGAAAACAAATTCGGGCATTCCACCATCGCCTTCAAATTGTGACGATGACACCTGCGCCCGCCTCCAGCCGTGTTGCCACGAGAAATTGTCCCTAAAGCCATGTCTTCGCTATGAATCCCAGGACAACGACAATGTAGACACAGCAACTGAAAATTGTTCCCCTTTTACAACATCTTCGCCATCAACTGCTCAATTCATGAACGTTCAGGACCCCTCCTTCTCCTCCTCTTTTTTCCTGCCTTTCTCCACGCTTGCCCCCTCTTCCTCCTTCACACCAAGGATGGATATCATGAGCCTTCGGCGTCCTATCCTGTATCGAGACCGTGGTTTCGCCTTCCTTTACGTCTTGCATCTGGTAGGCCTCATCCTGGTCTTCTCCCTCAAGCACTCAGAACCATCTCGGGGGAAAACAAGCCAACACACAAATTTACCTTTTTATGCGATTTCGTCATGTCTATTCCTGATAATTATTTGCGGAAGTGCTTTTACCTATTTTATTGTACTCCGCGCACTTCTTCACAATCGAGCTGCATTCGGCCTGCTCACACGCCGCCAGCTTCTCTCCCACGCCTCTTACTACTCCTTCGTTGCTCAGACTGTCCTCTTTTTTGCCCTCTTCCTCTCCCTCCCTCTTCATCTCCCATCTACCGTCATAATTCTTGGCGTTCTCTTTATGAACATGTGGCGCGAGCATCAGTACTGGCGTCGACGCGTCAGAGAGCAAGAGAAATTCGTAGTTGCTCTGGGTGAGATGATGAGCGAGATCCTGATATCTTCCCTCCCTTTATGTCGAGCAATTTCTTGGACCGTCCTGCTTCAAGCCTCCTTCCTTCTCTTGTGGGCGTGTGGTTTTGCCTCCTTTTACTCGTCTGCGTCCGGGCTTTCTTCGTTCCCCGCCTTCCTCCTCCTCCTCGACCTATACTGGACCGCTCAGCTCCTTCGAAAAGGGCTCTACCTCCTCCTTTCTGGGGCAGTGACCCGCTGGTTCTACAGTGCGCTGGAGGAAGAAAAGGAAGGGGACGGAGAAATGGGAACAGAAAGGAAGGGCAGCTGGAGCCCAGGTCTGCGTCGAGGATTTGAGTACGACCGTACATTGAATCCCTTCTTCGAGGAAGGGGAGGAGGACGGGGGGGAGGATGGGGGCGTCGAGGGACATGAAGGGAAGCAAGAAGATGGAAGGGGGAGGTACGAAGGAGAAGAATGGAAGGCGGAGGTGACGAGACCCACAGCATGGAGAGGAAATGGTGGCAAACGGGAACCACCAGCACCGGCACCAGCACCACCGGCACAGCAACAACTACCCTCGCCATCGTCATTTCCAATCACCCAGCGACCGCCACTACGCGATCAAGTTCCACCGTCACAACGGCCGCACCAGCATGCTCTCGAAAGATACGGCCCATCACCGCGTCCCTGCCCGCCTCATCCACCGCCAAACCACGTCCATCGTCCGCGTCCATCCCCTTGCAGGAGCGAGGACGACCCCGGTCCTCTCCTCGACGAGGGCCTTCCTTCCCCTACTCCCCTCTTCTCCTCGGCGCTCTCTCCTGTCTTTCCCGCGGAGAAAATCGCCCCGTCCCCTCCCCCCTTTTCCTCCGAGCACCTCCGTCTCGAAGTCATTCTCCACCACCTTGCGTGTGCCCTCAGTGTCTCCTTCGGCTCTTTAGCCCACGCTGCTTTGTGCTCTCCGGTAGCCCACCTCCTCTGGGACCTGAAAGGCTTCCAGGTGCCCGCACAAGCTCTTCCAATGCAAAGCATGCATGTAACCACCTCCTCCCTCCCTTCCTCCTTCCCTTCCTCTCTCTCGACTTCCAACTCCTCCACGGCCCTCGACCGCATCTCCCCGTCCTCCCTCCCCTCCTCCGTCCCACCCTCCTCCTGCGCCGCTGCCTTCATCCGCTCCCACCATCCTTTCGCCCTGGTCCACGTCGCCGCCTACAAAAAACCGTTTGCGGCAAGCGCACGTGACACGTGGACGATCATGATGGCGGCTGGGCTGGACTCGATCCTTCGAAGCGACACCTTAACACATACACTGCATGCCCTGGGGATCACTGCGAGTTGCTTGTTCGTCCTCCTATCTTTGTTGTTATTTGGCGCGAATTCTGCTTTGGGGCCGACCCTGTTCCTGCCTGCAGTCTTCGGGTACATTTTGATGGTAACAGTTTTGGAGCCATTACTGGCGACCGTTAATGCGGCTTACATTTGTTTCGCCGAGACGCCGGCTTCGGTATCGCAGACATTTCCTTTGATCTTCCACCGTTTGAGTCGGATTGCCGAGGTCCGAAACTTTTGAAAAAAAGGTCACGAAAGGGACGTGACGTAGAAATAAAAAGCGCGTGGCGTGTATACAGTGCATGTAATATGCGATTCTGCGATAATTACAAACCTTAAAACAAGTCGTTCTCTACAAAGGAAGTAGCTTTCTTGACACTGCAGAAGGCTTCAAGCGTTCTTCACGTCTTTGGGAGTGAGTTCTTCAGGAAGTCGATTGCTTTTTAGTCCCTCGCGGAGGTCACGCATGCACAGTTTTCGTACCCAATACACCAAAATTAATGTATCAAATTAAGTCGTAAATGCCCTTCAAGAGTCACAAATTGCTTTCTTGCTTCAAAGCTCGTAGACTAGTGTTGACAATCATCTGTTTTCTAGCTGAAAGATCGATCGGTATATATAATCATCTCTCAAAAACAAAGAGATTTATACATGCTCAAGAAGACTTACACGCCGAAAAGTCTTTATCTCGGGATCTATGCTCGAATGATCCCAACACCCCGGTAAGTGCCCCTGTTTCACTGCCAGGGCCACTTGTCTCGGTTTGACGTCCGAAGGCAAAGCAGACCCGTCGGCTCTTTTCCCGCCATAGAGGTTTCTGGAAACCGTTCCTCCCCATACAACCTCAAGACATGTTGACCTGCTGGGGTAGCCCGAAATTCTTCTGTGATGACGGCTAACCTTTTGGCCCAGGGGGAGGCCTCTGCTCCCGACAAACCTAAGGAGGCGAAGGCGGGAGGATTTATCAGTGGGTACGCCAAAGCAGCAAACGTCAAATCCGCTGCTGTCATCCGATTTGCCCCCAACAGGTATCTTCGCGGGCTTGCGGGAGCTCCCCCGCCCTTCCCTCCTTCCTCGCTGTCCAGTAATGCCGAAACTTCCCGGAAAATCTCACGAGACTCTTCCAACGCCGCAAGAGTCGAGGTTTCATCGATTTTCATCGCTTTTAGCATCACTGGGAGGATCTTGGCTTCCAATAGCCGCCACATTCGCGCCTCGGCCGTGGGATAATGCCTTTCCAACAGTGCGTTGCAGGTATCAATTCCCTCCTGTCGTCCTTGCCACATTTCCCAATACACGATTTTACGCGTCGCAGGCCCCAGCTGCTCTCCCAGCTTCCTCCAACGCCCGTACCTTGTCCCCCATATCTCCAGGAGGGTACAAGTGCCCCAGCTCCTTCGGATACAGGGAGGCAAGGTGCTGGAGGATCTCAGCAGAGTCCTGAACAACAGTGGGCGGGCCCTCAGGGTCCACTCCGGGAAGCACCAGGACAGGCAAGCCTGTTTTCTTCCGGTCCTTGGTTAAGGCGACCGTTGGTCGATAATGGAAGACAGGGGCATGGGCGTCTTCGATGTACGTGTCGCGTAGGGGCGACAAGTCCAAGGCCCAACGAGCTTTCTCACAGTAATGGGAGAGAGCAATCGTGCAGAGTTTAGCGCCGTCTTTCGGTACTTCGGGTGTACGTACGAACCATCCCACTGTTCGCAGTACGTGGTCCATCCTTGTGGCTACTCCAGGAATAAAAGGGGTCGAGATTAGTTTTCAGGGATTGATGAGATCCAGTTCGTCCATGCATCAAAGAATGGGGTGTTTTGCCACAGAGATTTCTACTGACTTATACTCATGGATTGTATTCATGAACACATTCGGCCGGCGTTTCCCCCCAAAAATTGTTCACATATTGCGTGTTGCGCTCGTCGCTATGTTTTTGTCCTGAGGTTTCCTTTTCTCACGGTTTTGCGCAATTTCTCCCCCCTTGGGCCGCCCAAGGCTTGGGCCGTTCTTCTGTTTCGCGCAATTTTTCTCAATTGCCCCTCGCGGTGACGTATGGTCAACTTACCTCTCTATAATGCAGTCTTTTGGAAGCTGTAAACACGTGACTCCTGGTCCAAGACTGCTGTAATGGGAGTCAGTAGTGCTGTGTGGCGGCATTGATTACAACGGAAGGAGAAATTCAGCCGTTTCCCGGGAACGTTGCATCATCTCATTGCTTCTACTGCTCCTTTCCCATTCTCTTGTCCTCCATTGGACAATGCTACCATGAAAAAAGGACAGAAATGAAAGACAACTGTCCACAGATAAAATATTGGGTGCGTATTCCAGTTGATAAAGGATACCCACTAAGTC